GGGAGAGGACCTCCCGGTGTTGCGTGCCCCCGCCGTCCCCGGCGGAGGGGACTTGCTGTCTTGAGAAGGGCCACCACCGTCCGGGAACCGAGCCGAGGCAGCAGCCGACGACGACGCCGGGTTCCCAGACCCGTCCCGGTAGTCAGCGCCTCTTCCGTGATGGTGGAACGGCGACGCGCCCGTCGGATCGGAACCACCGCCGCTGCCGGCCGCAAGCATCCCATTCCTGCTCCCGAGAGACGGAGGAGCCTCGCCCCCGGCGCCGCCGCGGGAGAACGGGGACGCGGAGCCGCGCCCGCGATCGCGGTCACGCTCTTCGCCCCAAAGCAGTCCTCCGCCGCCCCTGCTACCGCTGCTGCCGCCGTTGGTGCTTCCTCGGCCGCTGTCCCAGGCCTCGCGGCCGTAGTCTTTCCCCCCCCCCCCCCCGCCCCCCCCACGGATGCGATACGGATACCCGTAACATCCGAGTACCGCGAGCGAGGCGGGACGAAGAGTACGCTGCAATTAGCACAGCGAGGCACTGCGGCGACAAGTTCGCCGGTGTCGCAGTTTCGGCGTTCCTTCAAGTTGAGAAGCAGGGGTACGCGCAGCTGGTAACGCGCACATGCACCATCGGCCTCACCAAGATACACTCATCGGCGAACAACGCACAGCAAACTACTGGGGATGCAATCTGTTCGCGGGGGCGTGCGTAAACAAACATCGAGGATGAGAGAGAGTGCCTGCCCCGCGGTGACAAGGGAGACGTCAAAAAGGGTGACAAAAAACGTGTGTGTGCCACCATCGCGCAGTAAATCTCTGCTACAGGTTGCCATATGCGTGGATCTTTATCGAATCGTGAAAAAGTAGCTGCTGTTGCGGTCGCCATGTGGTACACTCAGGGCACTAGTGGTGGCAAAAAAAAATGTTGTGCGCATGTGCACTCTGTGTTGGTGCCATGTTTTTATTGCCTCCCACGGAGAAGTAGAGAGCAGCACCTCTTGCAGCGCGATACGTAGCTTGCATGCGTAGTCTCATGTCCTATCCCCACCTGGCTGACGGGTGCTCTGGCTCTCTCGCTGTTGCTGCCATGATACTGCTGTCGTCGAAATATTTATCTAGAGAAGGGACTCTTTCAAATGCGCTTTGGCGCCCACTAGGCCAACTGAAATACCGCCCTCGTTGCGCGTTCGACGGGGTTGCCTGCAGTAAGCTTCTGCTCTCTGACGGCACGATCCATGTGTGTCGGCGGTGTGTGCAAGCAGTGTCTGCAAAACCGCAGTACTCGAGCACCTCGTTTGTCTCATGTCTCCCTCAGGCGTGAAGCACACCCACAACTCAAGGCGATTGTTGATATTGGCTTGGCGCCCTGACAAACATGGCCAATCTTGGGAAAGGATACATGCAATGATAGATGACGACGCGAGATGTGACGACTCTTTGCTGGTAAGTGAGAGGCATTGAGAAGCACGTGTTGAGAAGCACGATGACCACTACACCACTAGTCAGCGCTGACTGGTGGTCTAGTGGTCATCGTGCTTCTCAACAGGAGGCCGGGGGGCGGCGGAACCATCGTGCTGTGTGTTGTGGGTGTTTTCGTCCTGGCGTGGGATCTTTCAACTTTATTTTTTTCTGCGACTGCGGTAGCAAATCTGTGCGTCGCGGAACACGAGAGAGGGTGCAAGAAAAGCTTGTGTACCTTATGCTCTCTCTGTCTCGCCCGTGATATGGGTACCCGCCGTGACCGATTATCACGGAGAGCGGCCGTACCAGCCTGTCGGCTTGTATCTGTCTCCGTGTGTATGCAAACACGGATCAAGGCTCGTCCGCGCATTGGTTGGCACGAGGAACAAGCAGCAGTAGCACGATGGGCTCTCAAAATATCACTGGCTGTACGCCATACAACTACGGCGGTACAAGCTAGCAGTTACGCGTTGCCACGGATCTTGGCCCTTTCTACGCACGGGTATACTCTTTCTCTCGGCCTTACCTTTGTCTTGCGGGCGCGCGTTGGGGTGGAGGTGGCATCCTGCTGTTTTCTCGAGCCCCCCATCATTCCGGGGAGGTCTTGAGGGTGCTTTTGCTGCTGCTGGGAGCTGATGTAGAGGTTGTCGACAAGACCCCCGAGCTCTCTCATAGAATTCGACATCTCTTTCTCCTAGCAATGGCAGCCGCTGATAAAGGTCCTCCGTGTGCCTAACTTGCTCGTGTCGTAACCTTGGTGCCTTGTTTGTGGTGCAGTGCTGAATTTGGCCGTTTGGCATTTTGGGGGCTCACGGAGAGTACATCCACCAGGTACTGCACAAGCAGTCTAAATAATAGGTTTCATTTGCGAGGACCCCCAAGCGGAGCGTTGAGGCGTTACCTGAGTACTGTGTGCTCTGCTGCCGTGCTGTCAGCAAGTGCTGTTGTTCTACTACTACTGTACCTGCTGACGACTCCATGGAGTCTCGAACAAGCGAACGCCAGGGCGTGATGCGCTTGATGGCCACCACATTGCTAGTCGCGGTCGGTTCAAGAGCGTTCCTTATCAAAACAGCAGTGCCTCCTCGACAGCAACATGCCCTACAATCCAAATTGCAACATCAACCCTACCGACCACGACACATGACGCGACACTCGGCGCGTTATTGCGCGGGATCGCCAGACGTTTGCGCTATGCAGCAAGGGACTGCTGGCGCCAGCGGCTTGTCTGCCATTCTCCCTGTCGACGCCGCTGCGACGCGAACGGAAGCTTTGTCTGGATTTTTCCAGGCAGTCTTCCTGTCCACCGCGGTACTTGCGAACCCTCCCGACAGCAACTCCGATGGCCTCGGCGTTGTGGACGACCTGCTGGCGGACTGCCCTTCGGTGAGGCTCCTGATGGTGGTTGTAGTGGTGGCAAATTGGAGTCTGTGCTACATATTGGCTTGATGTTCTGGATATTTTGAAAGTGACTCATGATGTTAGATCTGAACCTGACGGGTTTGCCTCACCCTTATCTGACGGAGTATACCACCCTCCCTGGAGACGATTTTTCATCTCAGCTGTAAAACAAAGGGGTTCAGCAAGGGGGCACATTTGAAAATATTCCTGTGAATTGAACGGTACGAGATAGTCCGTACGTCCGCGCCCCGTGTTCGCGCCACGCGGTTCGTCCGCGGTACAAGAAATATTCCTTCGTGGCTTCGTGACATAATAAACGCTTTCGATTCCCAGGTGTGTAAGTGGTTACTTAGGCATCGACCGACTGCAAACCGTTGACGGACACTGATGAAAAGACGTCAGCCTTGGCTGGACCCAGAACAGAATGTTGCAACGACGGTTAGAACTCCGCGGTTTCCCTGATTTGGTTATTTGCGTTCGTACATGTGAAAATGCCGTTGCCGTCGGCCATTGGAAAGTTTTCCGTGAACCGTCGTTTCTCGGTGTTAAAAGTGTACAAGCAGTCACCCGTCGCCTGGCAACGACGTTGTAAACAAAGCCACCACCCCCGGTGTTTGCCATCGGTTGGGTTTTCGTCGCTTGTCAGCGATGTTGTAAAATAACCCGATCACTTCGAGAGCTCCGCAACCAGGTTATCGCTTGCTTTTACCCTTCTTTTTTTTTGGCGGTGTAACCATGATGGTCGAGTAGATTATGTTGTGCGGGGTCGAGAACCCGCACACCGCGCAAAGGGGATAATCGCACCACGTTGTGTTAAAATGGTCAAGCACCCTCGACGCAATTACACAGTGCTTTCAACTGTCTGTGGAAGTGAAAGCACCAGAAAACAAATTAAGCCATTCGCAGCCGTCATCCGTACGCAAGGAAGTAAGCACAAGGCGCGGCGAGCACCGTTTGCAGGATGCAGCGCACCCTTCATGCGACTCGCCAAATATCTCACGGCGCTTCGCGCTTGGTGATGTGAGAGCCTGGTCCGGTGAGAACCCGGCGTGCTCCGTCCCGGCTTTGTAGGGATGCGAGGTCAATGGTCTAACGACTACGGCATGCACGACTATGAGTGAACCACGCAAGTGTTTTGTCCCACACCAGCTACGGCAACACCAAGAAAACACGTCGTCGCGGGCACCGTTACACGCACGATCGGTCCGGAACCAAACGAGATAAGCCTTTGTCGCCAACCGAAATGTTGCCCTGAGCCACAGAGCTCACGTCTGAACAGATGAAGGGTATTGACGTTTGTTTTGTGGCAGACTCCGACATGCGTGAGCTCCCAGGACGACAGACCGTACCCGTTCATGGAGCCTTGGTCGTACGACGGCCCCTTCGAGCGGTCAATGAGCCGTTTGCGGAACTACCTCGAGTTCAATGGCGCGAAGGTCAGTTTTTTCCTGTGTGTAAATCAATCAAACAAACTGCCGGTTTGATCTTTTTCGAGAATGTTGTGAAGTACTCCATGTTATCAAAGAAAGACTGCCCGTTCGAGCTAAAGCCACAGTCGAAGGGGGTGGGTTGAAGCCTTTACAGCAGTGAGTGGGAGAAAAACCAGTACTTGTCCGCTATGTTTTGTACAGACCGCCCGGCTAGCAAGAAGCGAGATTGTCAAAATCAGGGATGAGATTTTGACACAGAGCTCGCAGGTGTCGAGCCAAGGCGCAGAGTGCAACAGCCTAAATCCTACTTTATGACAGGCTCATGCCCGATCTTCGCCCGACAAATCAAGCCACACCGGGCTATAATTCACTTTGCTTGTGAGCCGGCCGGCGATGAATCGAGTCACCGTAGGTGTTCAAGATCAAGCACCGACGAAGAAATGCTGAGTCGATATACCACGGCCGTAGGTTTGCGAAATCATTCAATGTTTTTCAAGACAGCATGGACGAAAATCAACGACAACAGGTGATCGCAACCTCCCCCCGTTACCTGCGGGTGGAGTTCGAGTCGCCGAACGCGATACCCGCTTCGGTAGACGACGCCGAGTTCTACTTCACCCCCGGCGACGCCCTCGTGCAGTTCCGGTGCGCCAGGAGAAACGGGCCCACCGACTTCGGCGCCAATCGGCGGCGCATGGACGGCATTCGGCAAGCGCTCAAGTTCGAATCTGTGAGAAAAATAGCGCGGAAGGCTGTCGAACGATGAAGCGGCGATTTCCTCTACCCGTATATTGGGTCGGACCGCCTTCGATGGTGTGTCGAGAGGAGATGTGCCACCGCTTCGCTGCACAACGGCAAGAAATCCCTCTTGAGGGCTACAGCATGCATGCCTTTGGGCAGTTTTTTGCCCCCAAATTGGCATCGTCGCTTGTTTTGTCAACCATCTAAGTCCGGAGTGGGACGATCCAAGCAATCGTGCTTCTCTCCATGTATACTTGTCGTCAATCGATCGATCGAGAGAGGAACATAGAGAGCGTGGAAAACCAAAAGGGTGATTTTTGTCTTTTACGCGTACATGGATGCGAAGGAATCACAAGGCGAGATTCGTCATCGGCTCTGCTTAGGCCGCTCGCTCCAGTACCCCGCAACCGCCGCGTGCTGTCTCCCTCCCTCTCTCTGACTCTCGTCGTTTTCTTTTGGTGTGGCGGCACCCGTGCCCGGCAATATCCTCCGTGCTGATTTGTTGCCGCGATCATCGCCGCTGCCGCTGCCGCCGTTCGAGACAGATCCCGGTGCTGCGCAACCGTAAGCGCGCCCTCTTTTTCGGCGAGAGCCCGATCGATTCTTTCGGCCCTTCCTTCGGAATGGTGAGGCAGTTGCTCTGCAGGGCGTGTGCCGTGACATGCGAAGCAGGACGGGGGAAATTTGTTGTTTTTGTCAAACCCTTGAGCGTGTTGTGGTGTGGGCGTACTAGTCCCCGCCATGTTGAAATCTCGCATGCGCACAGACCGCAAGCGTTAGTGACTGATTATTCTCATGCTGTCCAGTTTTGAATCCCGCATGCATATGTGCAGTGCACGCACGTACAGTGCGAATGCACCTGTTCGCGTTTGTCCATGGGTTGCTACTGCGTGGTGTCCCCATGCCACAATGGAAGGCCCGTCAAATGCCGTCTAAAAGCAGATTGATGGGCTTGTTGCTCCACATATTTCGACGTAAATTCTTCTCATGTTTGCGCCCCTCTAAGGTGCTTTCGTTTATCGTCTCTTGCTCCTTTGACTTCGCACTCAAGATGCATCCTAACGCATTCGCTCGTCTTTAAATGCAACTGCAATATTCGGGACGGGCAGGCGGATCCGTCTGTGATATACGGGGACGCAGATCCAATGTCCCCGCCTTTCGAGACGCCTTCTGACGCGCTGCGCGAGCGGTACGGGGAGGGTGGAGGGGGAGCCGACCGGCCTGCTTGGTGGGGAAAACCGCTCGCCGAGGCCGGGGGGTTCGCAGACTGGAGGCAGATGCCGTCCCCGGCAGCGGCATGACATTTTACGTTGTCGGACTCTGCTTTGAAAAATTTGAGGATGGCCAATTTTGAGCAAGAGTTGAGGTGTAGAGAGTGCTGGGAAATGTGGTGGTGGGCAGCAGTGAATCGTCTTTGTGTGTGTGGCCGAAGCAACCGTGCCTTATAAGATGTCCTTAGCGGTATGTAGCTGTAGAAAATGTTTCATGGCTACCGAAACAGGAGGAGAGATGGCACCCCGCCCCTTTGCTTGAGGGGAGGGGCAGGGGGGGGGGCTACCATCTTAGAGCAGCAACAGTGTAGCTACGACGAAGTAGAGCGGTCGGAACACGAACTCCAACGTGAGCCTTATGTACCACTAAATGGTAGAATATTTTCTTAGGCGATGCCGCCTTTGTGCCTATAACCTACTGGTGCATTGTGATCACGCTCTTAGATCAAGAGGTCTTCTTGTTCCTCTAGACGGTTTTCTATGTTTTTTTCTATTGACGGGTTGCTCAAGCGTCAAGCTGAAATCCACCTTGATCCACGCAGGAATAAACAGCCGAAAATATGACATGTTCCCCCCGCATTGGGACCCTCGGCGTAGAACAGGAGCAATTTTTGTCCTACAAGACGAATGCGTACCGAGGTAAGAACTTGGGAGATAATAACCATTGCTCAGTTTGCGGCAGCTAGCGATCCGCCTCACGCAAAAAAGTGATTATTACGCGGGGGCGCCCTCTGTATTGGTGAGCAGGGCGTGACTTCGTCAACATCATGCTCCGAGTTGCGAGGCCGTCAAAGTTCACTCTGATGTACAGTACATGTAGCACCTACAATGTGAGCTTGTGCCCTCTTCATACTCTATGCTTCATCTTCAAAGCTCGAGGCTCAATATTCAACTTACTCGTGGAGGTCACCGCGACCTCGCTGCACTGGGGAAACGCCACTATTCCGGATCAAAGACGGTGACGCAACCCCACAGTACATACCGGCGATCCCCAACTAGCCGGCACCTGACTTCTACCGGACCCGATACTGCCGGACTACAATACACCAACCCCCTCCACCACCCCGCCGTGCTCGAAGATCGTCTGTCCGAAGTTCGGCTCAAAGCCTCTGCCGCTTGCCGTGACCGAGGACGACCGAGATCCGCCATCCCTGCTGCTACGGGCAGTGGACCCGCGTGCCGTCGAAACGCTCGTCGCCGTCGAAACCCTCCCGTCGTCGGTGGAGAAGCTGGCACTGGTCGGTCACGAGAGATTTGAGAGGACGAGAAAGATTTGGGGGAGAGTCGGACAGGGACGAGGAGGGAAACGGGAGGATTACCGTCAGCGAATGACGAGTTCACCGGCCTCCTTTGCTGAGGAGAGTTCAGGTACAACCCGAGGTAGGAGGAAACGACGTGATGCGAGGAGCGCGCCGACACAGGGGGTGGAGAAGGTGGTACGTTCTGACGATATGTAACCCATCCAAAGGACGCCGAACCATGCCGCAGAAGTCCTCGGTGAGGGTGAACGACGTTGCTGTGACGACCGTAACCATAGACCTGAACAACTAGTCGAGACGAGGATTGTATGTCGTGCACACACGGCGGCGAGTTCGTTCATCGGACGTTTGAGAGCTGCTACTTCTGCCGCTCCCGAACGGTAGGTTCCCCTCTCTTATATCCTTACGCCTACCATTCATTGCAACTGGCATTGCCCGCTTGCGGCAGCAGCCCCAATACTCGTGTGATTTTGAGAAACATCAACGGTGATAAAACTTGCATCAAGCAGCACACGCGGAAAAATCAATATCTTCCTTCGTTTCACCTGTGGCCAAGGGCTCTTGGGTTCCGGCGGGACGGCGGTAACGCGAGCTCCTCCGCATCATCGGTCGCCGCAGAGGACGCACCCACTGCTTCCTCTTCGCTGTCGCGTTGTTCGGGGTTAACCTCGCGTCTGCGACCAGGTGCTCGTGCCGCCGCTGTTTCAGCCCTAGTGTGAATGTTGCGGTTCGGGTCGCTGTTGTTGATACTGCCCTTCAGCGACGAAGTCATGGGTCGGGCTGGCGACGTTGAAGGCAGGCCTGCTGCGGTGGCTGTCCGTGGGCCTCCAGGGTAGGAAAAAAGGTCGCAGGAATCGTCACCACCGCCGTTGTGGCGGTTGCTGTCGCCGTTCTTTCGTCGTCGCCCGCGACAGGTCATGGCGCGGATCGTCATCTCCTCCTGAGTCATGAGCGTGAAACGAGAGGAACGCTTTGAGTCATGTTCTCTTCGTTTGCCTCGGGACTACGGCCATTGTTTCCTCGGTGGTGGTTTTACTGGAGGCCGATACATGTGAGTTGAACCTGTGTATCGCAATCCGTGCTACACTTTCAACATGGAACATGCCGGTTAATGTCTGCCAATATCTGGAGTGGTTGCACCATCGATGTGTCCGGTTTGCCATGTTCAGCCTGGTTTCCACAGCAGGCCATCGCACGGAACGGCCGCCTCGTTCTGCATGATCTGTCGTGTGTCGGCACATTCTGCGAAAAAGGTCTATTTTTGTTGTTCCAAATGCATGCGCTGAAAACCTGCGTAAATAACTACTTGTTGCCAGGAAGGCTAGCCAAGGATTTCGTCGACATGCGAGCCCAACTACTGGTTGATGCCTAGATCACCACGGTATTTCCTGGTGTTGAGAGTATCCACCCCTGGGACTCGTTAACGCCTTCCCTGAGGGCTGCTGTTTGCTTCATACAACCCGCTGAAATCGTCTGTGTATGGCCTTCCTTCAATGCATTCCAATTCGAACGTCTACATGAATGAACAGTCTCCTTCATCGTGTAGGTAACTTGGCAAGACAAGGGAGAGCCATTGACACGAAAGAACGATCGCAGATCGGCCCAACAGTCACGCGACGTTACCTTTCTGATCTGAGCTAGAAACTCCGCGGTGCTGGCGCTTATCTTGGGCCGCCTGCGTCGTCTTGCGGACGGTTCCCTGGACACGTCTCCCGTCTCGTTGTTGTTGTCGTTGTTACTGCTCCCTCGAGACTTGTTGTCACCGACGGACTTGCTCAGACTTGTCGACCCTGATACGGCAGCAACGCGGGATTCAACACCTGGTAATCACGACTATGTTCAGCTTCACCAGGACTAAAAGAACGTCAAAGCACCGAAGCTGCGTGCTTGGATCACCTCCTCCCTTCGAACCTGCCGCACTGGAGTGCCTCAGAGGTAGAGAGCAGAGGAGAAACGCAAACAAGATCGACATGGACAAATGGCTCCCCACTTTGTTGTCGTTCTCTTTCCAGCGGAATCCAAACGACGTGTATGAGCCTCTGGATTTAATAGGAGTGCATGGCTACAATTCCCCCTTTTCAAGCCAAGAGCAGGTGAACCGAGGTCAATTTCACTTGATTTCCTACAACAACACCCGCCAAACCAATTCTGTACCACCATCTGGAAAAGAAAATCCGTCAAAACAAGCGTTGAGGTCGGCCGGAACTTACTGACGGAAGTTGCCGGGTCGTGGTCGTCCATGTTGTAGTCCTCATCGAACGGGTCGTACATCAGACGAGGCCATTCGACCTGCGTATGCAAGAGAGGGGGGTTGGACCGGCGGAAGAAGGGCGATGCGGATGAAACGGTCGTTGACTCCTGGAGATCGACGAATGACATGAAAGGCCCTGTTCGAGGACGAAATCCTCCACCCCCTGCTTCATTGAACCCCGTCGGCTAGCCCCTATGCCCCAGCGTAGAGCCTGACAAAGACCCTTAGCGTTTACCTTTGCGGCGGTCTGCTCGATGAAGCGGTCTTCCAGCCTTCGGCGAAAGTTTTTCTCCTTTGTATCCGCGCGATGTCTTTGTCGCTCTGCTTCAGCCAGGTTTTTGGCCCTTTCCTCTCTTCCCATCCGAAAGAATTCGTGCATCAGCTTCGTTCGTGCGTGTTCGCGCGTGTACGTGTCGGCAGCAAGGGTGAAGGTCTATGTTGAGCATGACGTTGGAAGACAACCATGGTTGGGTCTTCTGTTGAACCAAGGTGCATATGGACGATGACAAGAAATCAGAGGAAACGCACCACACTTCCTATTCGAAACGTCGTTCGAGTTTGACCCCATCAACACTGGTGCCAGCTTTCAACCTTTGGCATAAACTAGTGTGGGGCATGCCGGACTTCGCCATGTACGCAGGCTTGGCCCGCAGAGACTTCTTTGGCCAACCATCATCCTAGGCTTGGACCGGGACACAAAATACGCCGCTCCGTCGTGAGTAAGTACCTCTGTTCCGTCAATGAGCTTGCTGTTGTCCTTGTCGAAGGCGGTAAACACCGCGCCTAGCTCCCCCGGTCCCAAGCGCACCCGAAAATTCATCAACAGCTGCGCCCGGAACGCCGTCGGGTCCATCTTCATCTGCCAACACAACAAGAAAGACAAGCTAAACATGACTAGCTAACTGCAGCTACATCGTAAGCGTACGATTACACAACGGTGCTCGAAACAAGCGCGTTCGTAAGCGTCCCACCACGGTGTTCAAACATGAACATACACGCACGGCGCAGTCACAGGGGCTCGAAACGGAACATATTTAAGGCTGCATTCACCAGCAGGCATGGGAAGTACTGCAAACGGTTGCCCGCCGCGGAATGGCAGGCCGTACATTCTCTAGCGCGCTTCCTATGCATTTCCCCGTCTGTCAGAGGGCTCGCCCCCTTTCCACTACCTTCGGCTCTTTGGCGTCCGTCGCGCCTTGTCGAATATACTCATCTCGCCGAAAACAACGGGCCGTTCCGCTCTAGAACCCCGACCAACTTCGACCGCCCTTTGTTTCTTCCCTGCCGCTTTACATGTGACTGCACAGGCGGACCTGAGCTATTCGGTTGATGTCCGCACCGAGCCGGGCCTTGTCGTATGTGCTAGCAGCAACGGCGATCATTTTCAGTCCGCGCTTCAGCTCGTCCTCGGAAAAGTTCCAGTTCACTTTGCACTGTCGGCCACGAGTCGCAAAACGGCATCGTGTCAATTTTCTCACGTTTTTGACAGGTGGATATGAGGGATGTATGGGTGGGTCAATCGCGAAAGATGCGAATGGTACACGCAGCTGCTATTGGCGGCCCTCCCTGTCATTGGCAGCCAGCCCTCCTGTTTAGCTCGACTACAGGAATCGTGAGAGTCCGTGTGCAGAATAACACCGAAAGCTACATAGCTGATCAACGAAAGCGCCAGCCTATTCTGTCTCGGCTGCTACGTTAACCCGCCACAAGACACAACAAGCTGTCTTCTGCTAGTTACCATACCAGCTTAGGGGATAGTGTGACCCGCTGAAAAATGAACACCAGTGAAAAGCAAAACATTCATGCTAAGGCGGACTCCATGGCACATGTGGACAGGATCTGACTACGCCGAACATGATGAAGCCGTACCTTGGATTGCTCCCTCAGCTTGGTCAGCAGCGCCTCCTCCTGCTCTCGCTTTCTTCTCCTCACGGTTTCGTTCCGAGCTTGGCCTTCGGCGACCTTGGCGGCGTGGCTGTCCCTCGCAAGGGTGTGAAACCTTCATCGGCCGCACGACGACAGATTAACTCACTCGCAGACGGAAAGAGCGAGAACCCAAGATCTTATTTTTTGGTCTGGCCCATAAACATAATAGTCTTTGGGCTCTGAGTATTGATTCGGGAAAATGCCCATGCTGACTTTCCGCATGATGACTGATGTTATGATAAGCATTCGTCCTCTACTTCTCAACCAGTACCATAGCGGTACCATCGCTACCATCGCCTGCGACTACCCACTTCATCATCGAAACGCACTCTGCCGCTATAGTCTGTGTATGCCCACCTGAAAGCAAACTCCTTTGCGTCCACCATACCATCACGGTGCAGATCGAATGCCGATATCAGACCCCCCACCTCGGCCCGTGTCAACCGCAGCCCAAAAATTGCTCGCAACTGCTCGCGAAATGTGGTGGGCCCCATCATGCCTATAGTGTACAGAAACGTGAAAGATCGACAAACCAACAGTATGCCCTTCTTGTTGGACGTCGGATAAAATACTGGTGTATCTACTGCTTGTGGGACACTACGTTTCTTTGCCGGAGAACCACGCGAACAATAGTCGCAGATGCAATTCACTCCGGTATTCGTCACACCGATGTCATGCGGAATAGATTTACGGTGCGGTTGTCGAGTTGAAATCGAATGTGCAACCTCAGACGTCACAACAGTAGCAGTACCCCGAGCGAGCGTGTCTGAGCGAGCATGGCTGCACAATCATGAGCTGCACGAGCACGTCTCGTGATGTGATTGTGGAATCAATGTGCTCAGCGCGCTACACTAAATAGTTTGATTGATTTCGTAGTTGCATGGTTCCGTTGGCGCTTGAAAGCAAAACCGCGCCAGCCCTTCAAATGTTCGCCATGAACGTTTCCTTCAAACCCAACATCTGCGAACCCGCATGTGATATGACGCAATCTGCGCACACACACACACCTCCCCTTTCCAGCTGGCGAAAACCCTGATCCCTCGATACCACATAGCGCTCGGCAACCTGTTCGCGCATCGAAAGTTGTAATAAACAGGCGAACATGCGGGTCTGCTAAAAACCATATTCCACATCGGTGAACAGACGTATTATGCTATGAAAATGAGAAAGGTGGAGATAAGCACGACGGTGTTTCAGAGTAGAAGGGCCCTTGCGGGGGAGGTCGCTTGCCCAAGGAAGGCTGTCGACGTGTATTTATTTTCGATGTCGATCCTCTCCTTGAGGTGGCTTGATAGTCGTTTCCTGGACGGTGACACTGTTCATATCGTCGGATAACTCTTCATTGGAACCCCGCAGGTATCCCATAGCTTCAGACTGAGGAGCCGAGGAAACCAGATCCATCCCACACAACACGGCTGTCGTACCCCCAACTCTCCGGGATGCAACCCAAAACGACCAGCGTTGTGGCGATCGGAAAACCTCACGGCGCTGGCGCAGCGAGGCCCAGATGGCCGGTCAAAGTCCCTTCTTGTTCAAGCTTTCGAGAAGGAAGGAAACAAATGCACGGCGGCCCCCCGGGTGACAAGAAATCTGACATTTAGGAGTCGTGACGCGAATTGTTTTGTTACCTACCCGGGTGGTCTTGGCAATCGCCGATCGCACGTGATCCTTCGTGTGCTTTTCAACGGCCACTTCCTTCACCCTCGACCTGCGGTCGGCCCGCTCTCTCAACCGTTCGTTCTGCTTTTCCTGATGGTGTCGCACGAACACGGGGGGGTGCGTTTGGTGCATGTAGTTCCAGGGGCGCGCAAAAGAGTTTTTCTGTTGATGAAGGCGTGACAGAGATCCATGAGCCTAAGGGAGGAAAAGCAAGTGTAGAGGCATCCCCACCATGAGCGCGCGGGCTGAGCGGGGGCTGGGTACAGAACTCACAAGCCGAAAGAACGCTTACAACGCACGAGAACGGGTTTCCACGTGCCAGCCTGGAAGAGAAGACATTTTACCCTGTAGCATATAACGTCACCATGAAAGCAGGGGCGAACTGTCGATGCGCCGTTGGAGAAACTTCGTAATGTCTACCACTGTATGGTCCAAATCATTATTGGTGTCACTGCAGTTCCGGAAACTATTGGGTACCGGGAGGTCGTTTTGTGTGCCATCCGCTGTAACCAACCATCTCGCAACACGAGCCCTAGCGGTGTGTAAACTTCCAATACTCACGTTGAGCTCGCGAACCATCTGTATTCGTTTCCGTGCCTGCAGCTCGCGCTCCTCCCTCCCTATCTGCCAGAAATCCTTCAAAAACTCTGCGCTGTCCGCTCGCCCTTCCCCCTGCTTGTCGTACATGCTCACCTAGACAACGCAACGGCGTTTCGCGTGAAAAAGGCGGCAATATCCTTTGCATGATCAGATAATTGCTCTCGCTACCAATTACATTCGAGTGTCTCATGGCTTTGTAGTTGAGGCACTGCCAGTGTTGTGATCCAAAAGCAATGACACGGGGGGATACCTTGCTGTGAGGGAGGTGGAAGCACCCTGATGTATAAAAGGAATCTGTTGTAGCATACAGTATGACCAGGGACCCTCAAGTCGTATTGTCGGTTATCACCATGCGCACGAGAGTATCAGCTATCAAAACGACCAACATCGACACCCAGAACCACAACGCCGTACCAGTAACATCAACGTCAGCTCCAGCAGCAGCAACAACAACGCACTAGCTCACCAAAACGCCGAGATCCCTGGGGTGCAGGAGCACTCCGAAATTCCTGCGGAAGAGCTCCTTGAACTCCGTCGGGCCTAGCGACACGCAGTCAAACCCTGCCGACGGCGAGAGCGTGCAAAATAACGCAAGCAGACAGGGGAGAGGTCCGAAAGCAATAGGTGTGCGAGTACCACCCCAAGATTTTGCGCCAGGGAATAAGCAAGAGATCATCGGATTGAGTGCGCGGCGTTGAAACAAGGAATTGTAGAAATCGTCGAAAAGCACCCGAACGGTAAAAGGAACGTGTTCAGCGTTCCCTCAAACCCATGGGGGGGGATTGTCGACGTTTCCTCTGTTGCGTAGTCACGTGGCCTCGAGCTTCCTAGACTGCCGTGTGTAGGCTGAGAATGAGAGACTGGGTAGAGTCCAAGCTTCCTAGAAGCTCGAAGTCAAACAAAGCCAGTCACGGTAAAGGCGCAATCCATCATAGGGGCGCAAACACTTGTCAAGAGCTCTCCAAAAATTCACCCTTTGGTACGCCTTTCCGACTCGGGCACATTGCAAACTCTCGTTCCCTACGTCGGGGGCAGGAACATAGTCACCTTGCGGCAGGATTAGCAGGCAAGCGGCGGTCAATACGCTGGAAACCAATGTACAATATGCTAAATCTGTGGAAGTCGGATTAAGGCACCCTGTTCGCGGAACAACCGATAGAAGAGTTTCACGAGGACTAACTTGTACACCTTTTTGCTTCACCTCAGTCATACACAACCATTTTCAATCGATCCATGATACTTGGGGTTTGGCGATGCGATAATCATGCCGCGAATCGAAGCAGTAGATAATATTGCTGCAGGCACAGGAAATACTTGTTTGGGTAGGACTAAAATAGTTTCTCAAGTTGAACTCAGCTTATGTGGCAACAGAGGCGCCCGCAAGCAACCGGGCTACGTCCAAGATTGGTGGTGTGTGCAGCAATATGACAGGCATCGAGGACGGATGGAGGAGAGAACGCTACACCGAGCATTGAAAGGAGTTATCTCACCTAGCAATGGTGTTTGTTTTTTGGGATCCCAGTTGGCGGCGACGCGCTTCATTTGCCGATTTGCAGAATCAGCCTCTGGGAGGTTGGAAATCAGTTGTTTCCGTCGCCGGTACTGCGCTCGGACGATAGGGCGACAGTCATATCAGTGATTATGGTACAAACAAACCACACTTTTTTTTCCATA